CTGCGGTCCAAGCTGTCACGGTCCCTTAGGGAGCTTGCTGAGCTGACGGGTATCAGCCGTCATCTTGTGGCGCCGTCACGCCTGCTGGAGCCGGCCCGCTGGCTGCCTATGGGAGATTTGAATGCTTTACTGGAACTACTACCAGTGGGTTGTAGCTGTTTTAATGTCCCGAGGTCTTCTGGCAGAGGCGGTGGACTGGTTGTCATCTATAAATCTCACTTCAACTGTAAACAGCTTATTCCGTCGAATCCTCCTTCCAGCTTTGAAATGTGCCTATTTGAACTTGGCCCACCTCCTCTGTTGTTCGTGGCGTTGATATATCGTCTTCCTAAATTTGATGGGGACTTTTTAAAGGACTTCTCTGACCTCCTGTCTGTAAACATGCTAAAGTATGATCATGTTTTGATTCTTGGTGATTTTAATATTCATGTGTGTTGTCCTGATAAGCCATTGGCTAAAGACTTCTTACATCTGTTGGGCTCTCTTAATCTGTCACTGTGGGTCCTGGGTCCTACTCATGCACAGGGACACACCTTGGATTTAGTGCTCTCTATTGGTCTCTCTGTTGCTGGTGTAGAGATACTGAGCCTGGTTTTTTCTGATCATTTGCCCATTTTATGTGATTTTAACTTGCCCTGCATGCCTGCTGTGACTTCCTCTCATGTGAGATTTCGTCGTGTTTTAAATACAGCAAAGATTATTGAGCTTGGTGAGCTCCTATGTGCCGAAGGAAGTGAGCTACACACAATGTCACTTAATACAGAGGTGCTTACACTCCAATTTGACGGTATCTGTAAAAACAGTTTGGATAAAATTGCACCTTTTAGGATTAGAAAGCTGAGGCCTAGACCAGAACCATGGAAGAAAGACAGACTCCAAGTCTCTCGTGAGATATTCAGAGAATCTTTAACTATCAGCAAACTCTTAAGGAAGCGAGGGTGAAGTTCTTTGCTTATATTGTGGAAAAAATTCTCATGATCCACGCACTTTTTTTTCTGTAGTAAATTTTGCTACTTGAGTTCTCCGATTCTAGTTCTTTGCCTCCCACAGTTGACAATTGTAATGACTTTCTTCACTTTCTTGTTGATAAGGTTACAGCTATTCGAGCCGCCATTACAAACTCACCACCTGACTCTCTACTCCCAGAGCCGCCCCAGGCTACACTGGAAACATTTGAGCCTGTATCCTTATCGGACTTGGAAAAACTGGTAGCTCAGCTTAAACCATCTGGCTCTCCTTGTGATGTGCTGTCCCCTAGAATTTATAAAGAACTCTTTCCAGTGATAGGCCCTTTACTTTTGGCAATCATAAATGGCAGTCTTACTTCTAGTATGGTTCCATCCTCGTTTAAGAAGGCTGTTATTCATCCTATGTTTAAAAAGCCAGGGCTGGATGTGACAACCTTGGCTAATTACAGGCCCATCTCAAAACCCTTTTCTTTCCAAGCTGCTGGAGAAGGTCGTGTATTCACAATTGATTGCCTTCATGAACACAAATGATTTATGGGAGACCTTTCAGTCAGGGTTCAGGGCAGGTCACAGCATTGAATCAGCTCTTTTAATGGGTTTTAATGACACGTTTTTAGCCTGTGACATGGATAATGATGTTGTCCTACTATCTCTGGACTTATCTGCAGCTTTTGATAGTCGACCACGAAGTCCTTCTGGACTGACTACAGCATTGGGTGGGGATAACTGGGCAGGCCCTCCAAGGGCTTCGCTCCTACCTTCATGACAGGACATTTAGTGTTCAGATGGGTGAGGTGACGTCACTTCGTTGGGGTGTGTCACAGGGCTCTGTCCTTGGTCCTCTCCTATTTGCAGTGTATTTGCTTCCTCTTGGAGTCCTCCTTCGTTGGCCTAATGTGAAAGTTCATTTTCATGCTGATGACTGCCAGATCTATCTCCCCCTTCGACGTGGGGAGGATAGATCTGTTTCTCCTTTACTGGACTGATTGAAGGACATAAAATGTTTGATGGCTTCTTATTTTTTGCACCTAAATGAGAGCAAAACGGAAGTCATAATAATCCTGGCAGAAGAAATGGCTCAGGTGCTGATATTGACCTTGGCCCATTGACCCCCTATGAAAAGAAAATAGTCAGTAATTTGGAGATAAAAATATACTCCTCACTTAATCTTGACACTCACTTAAATACGGTGGTGAGATCCTGTTTTATTAATCTGAAACGACTATCCAGGATCAGGTCTCTGCTGTCCAGAGCTCATCTGGAGTCTGTGTTGCATGCCTTCGTCCTGTCCCGTCTGGACTACTGTAACGCTCTGCATGCCAGTCTGGGCCAGTGCACGGTTGCACGGCTCCAATTTGTACAGAACTCGGTGGCTAGGTTCCTAACAGGTACTAGATGCCGAGATCACATTACTCCAGTGCTGGATGCTCTGCACTGGCTCCCTGTGCAATATTGAGCTAAATTTAAGATCTTAACTCTTGTTTATAAGGCCCTCCAGGGTAGTGCCCCCTCTTACATTACTGCACTTTTGCACAAGTATGTTCCATCTCGGTCTCTTCGCTCAGCCGAGCAGGGACATCTGGTGGTCCGGTCGAAATATCGATCGAGGGGTTATCGTGCATTTTCTGTTTTGGCTCCAACTCTGTGGAATGAATTGACATTGAGCATTAGGCAGGCGGCATCTCTTCAAGTCTTTTAAGTCTCGTCTAAAGACTCATTTCTAATTGATTGCTTTTCAGCGCTAGGGTTCATTGACTTGCCCTGACAATGACATTATGGTTTTTAATACTTCTTCTTTTTGATCAGGATGCTTGATCTTATTTTGTCCACCATTTGTTTTTAATTGATTAGTCTCATTCCGTTACCTCTCTGTATTTGTAATATTGCTTGCTTGTTATTTTACGATTTTATGTTTTTATCTTGCTCTTATGCCAGGTACTGGGAATGTTTTTATGATGCTGTTCACTTTAGACTTCTGATAATGTTGTGGAAGGTGCTCTACAAATTTGATTGATTGATTGATTGATTGATTGATTGATTGATTGATTGATTGTTTGATTGATTGATGATGTGGACATTAGGGGTTGTACGAACTAGTCGACTAGTCGACTAGTCGACTTCAAGGCTCTGTAGTGACTTTTTATGCCTGTCATCGACTAGTCGCTGTCACGTGATAATGACTGACAAGATGCAGTCTTCGGAAAAGACAGCAGGTGACGAGCCCCTGCGCGTCTGGATTGAGGCGGAGGCGACGAGCTGTGCCAGAGCGTCGGTACTGACACCGGCGGTAAAACGGACATTTAACCAAACTGTGACCTTTTCCCTCTTGCAATTTAACCTTCCCCTCACCCCCATCCTAATCTTAACCAGTTTGCGCATGCAAAGCTCTGATCATTGATGCGCGCTCCAGACATTGCGTCCTGAGCACCGCCAAATCAGGTGTCACCATCTCAAAAACAAATTAAACACGCGATCGTTCATGTCGGCTCATTTCCTTTCATGTTTTCTGTCTGTTATTTGTGCCTGATGCATTTTGCTGCTGCGGAGCGAGGCACATCACCTGTTGTCCTCCGGTGACGCACCACTATCTCCACTCCGCTCCGCTCCGGCATGAACTCCGCAGCAAAAACGGTCCCGTTGTAGTTGGCCGGCGAGCAGCGGCACTCAGCTGTTTTTGAGGTCGGTAGATCTTTTAGAACTGCAGTTCAAAGGTAACTCATAAGGTGATCATATATTAACCCAGGTAGCAGTTTTTCTTTAGGATTGAGAGGAGATGCAGGAAGATAATAAACAGACAGGACAGAAAAATAGTCAAATAAAAACAAATTCGTTTTTGTACCTGGTGGTTGCAACAAACAGACACCATTGAAGGTAATCAGAAGTGAGGAACAGAAAATGAAATAATTATTTTAATGTTTAGAGCAGCAGGAACTCCGAGAGGCTGCAGGCGCATCAGTGAGTTTGCTGCTGCTGCGCAGGGGGAGGGGGGAGAGGACTAAAGTAGGATGCAGAAACTACCGTTGTTAAAAGAGATGTGTTAACTTAGAAAATGTGGGCGCAATTTTAATTGTCAAAAACTCCAGCGAACCTACCGACCCCCCCCCCCCCCCCCCCCCCCCCCCCGCTTCCGGCGTATGACGTTATCAACGACTAGTCGAAGTCGACTCGACTTTCATTACTTGACTGTCGACTTTAAAAAAGATAAAGTCGTGCAGGCCCTAGTGGACATAAGCCGCCAGGGAGCTGCAGGTAAATTAGCCATGGTGATGTGTGCATATGTGCTTTAAGCCAATTAAATATTACATTCTTGAAAACAGAAACATCTATGGCAATATACACATTAAATCATTACCATTAAATACATATTAAAATATTTATTTTATTAATTTTGATTAATTATTGAAATTATTGAAATAATTCAGTGCAATTAACTTGTGGCTATCAGCTTGTTGTTATATATGGAAAGCAAGTGCAATTTTTGAGTTTTACTGTTTAATATTGAAATACATATTTTGGACTATTCAAGAAGATGTTTCCCGACAGTGAAATAGCCACACAAAATGGCTGTTATATTGTTTTGTTAATATATATTATCATTTTCTAACCAGTGAATTGGGAAATTGCAGCGTGGGAAGCAATGGAGTTGCAAAAGTCTGCGAATAAAAGGCTGCACAAGTGATACTCAAAAACTTTTGACAAGGTTAACAGGTCTGTAAATCCTCAAAATCCCACCACATTAGGTCATTATCATTTTAAATAGAAACAAAGGAAATTAATGCATAAGTGAATTTATGCCGACTATGTAAAATTACTGGAATGTCATGTTCCTAGACATCCGTCTGATATGCTGGTTAGTATTTAATTACAAAAAATGAACATGGAGAAACGTTTAATAATTGCATGTCATGATCCCTCAATTTGACATGGTTACATTTTGTTTTCTGCCATTTGTTTTTTTCCGTCCCCAAACAAATTCTTTTTGACCTCTGCTGTGGTCAGACTGCATTCTCACACTATGTCCTGTGCCCCCAGGCCAGCCCTCACCACAGAGGCTTCTCTCGGGAGGAGGAGCTGCTGCGAGAGAGGAAGCGTTTGGGGGTGTCCGGCATCACCTCCTATGAATACCACCAGCCCAGCGGGCTCTTCCTGTTCCAAGCCAACAGCAGCCTGCACTACTGCCGGGATGGTGCAAACAACAGTTTTATTGTAAGTTAAAGATCAGCTGAAGAAGAAATTAACTTCCTCAAATAACAAACAGACTCCTAAGGCAACATGTCAACAATCTGATAGGTACAAAATGTTTTTGGAAAGCTTATTTCTGTAGACAGAAGTGACTCTTGTATTGATCCTGAAGTGTTCCAATGGAAAATTGTTCATGGTTCATCGGGATTTTGAAGAAAACTTGGGTTTGTTTTGTCCTTCATCCTGACCGGCTTTTGCAGCTTGTTCTTGGTTTGTCCTCTCGGTTCTTTGACCATAATACGTGCCTCGCCACTTCCTAAAAACATTTCGTTTTCACCTTCTTCAGCCTACATTTCTGTTTTGATGTTAAAATCAGTCAGGTCCAACTAGTTATGAGATTTATTTAGAAACAGGAAGTCTTTCCCAGGTTGTTGCACAAATGTACATTTAAATAATATGAAATGTATAGATGATTATTGTTTTAAAAGCATCTTAAAAACATGTCTGCTTATTTAAGAATGAAATTTGAGATGTTGCTTCTTTTCTTGACTAGTTGAATTTCTGACCGGTAGCTGTTTTGTTTTTTCCTCGTTTGCTTTGTGTTTTTATTTCAGACTTCTCCGATGGATCCCACAGAAATCAAGAGCCAAAACTCAGGCACACGGATGGACCCTAAGATCTGCCCTGGAGATCCCACCTTCATCGGTTTCATCAACAACAACGACATTTGGGTGACAAATATCAAGACAAGAGAAGAAAGGAGACTCACCTTCTGCCATAAAGGTCAGGACTACATAGTGCTCACTTTTTACCCATTTTATTATTTTTTTGTTTTATTTAATTTGATTTTTACGTTTCCATCGTAGGTATTGATAACCCAAAAGATGATTCTAAATCTGCTGGTGTAGCTACGTTTGTCACCCAGGAAGAGTTCGATCGTTTCACTGGATATTGGTGGTCTCCGGTTACTCATACAGGTGATTTTTCTGTTAGAGCTATAAACAAATCCGAGTAAATATCATATTGTTCTGATTCTTACTGGGTTTTTAAAACTACCTCATATTATCACTGGTCAGCATGTAGTTTACAGTGATGTTACTTATGTATAAGTTTTGTTCACTTTCTCCTTGTTTACTTTTAATTTAGAGCCAGATGGTTATAAAACTCTGCAGATTCTGTATGAGGAGGTGGATGAGTCTGAGGTGGAAATCATCCATGTCCCATCTCCAGCTCTGGAAGAGAGAAAGACTGATGTGTACAGATACCCACGTGCAGGTATGAGTATGGAAACTCTTGTGGAAAATGAGCTAATTTTTGCAATTCTGCTTTGATGTAGCTACATTTTGTTTGTGTCCAGGTAGCAAGAATCCTGACATTACTCTCAAAATAGCAGAAATCAGAACCGACAGCCAAGGAAATGTGAGCACTTCTTATGTTGTTAATGTGCCGTGTTAATCCACTCACGGTAAGCACTGGCATGTGTTTTTTGTGCTGATCTCTGGTTGGTGGTGTTGTTCCCCAGATTGTCAGCACACAGGAGAAAGAGTTGCCTGTTGCCTTCACTAGTCTGTTTCCCAACGTTGAGTATATCACCAGAGCTGGTTGGACAAAAGACGGTCGATAGTAAGTTTATTCTTTAAGAATTTGGAAAAAACAAACCTCCACCAGCTCAGGACATCAGTCTAGTGTTTATGCAGGGTATCCGCGGGTCCTTAAAAAGTCTTAAATTTGCTTTTCCAAATTTAAGGCCTTAAAAATCCTTAGAAATGACAAATAATCCTTAAATACAGTTTCCAAAGGTCTTAAATGACCAAAGACCCAATAAACAAGATATTTTTATTTCTATAAAATTTCTGTGAATTCCTAGTTGTGTTCAGCATTTTTGTGTACGATGTTGGCGTAAGCGGAACCGTACACATTCAGTTGGTTGTGAAAGGGGGCTATTTTTAGATGAGCACATTAGCTGGTTAAGCTAGTGGGAGCTTGCACCATGAGGAAGTGCAAGTTTAATGGTAACTGGATGGCTAATCCCACGTTTGCGACGTGGCTAGCACCGGTTCCAGGCAATAGCTGGAAATTATAGCTTAAATGAAATTTAAAAAAATAGCTTACATTTGGTCAAAGTGGCCTTAAAAAGGTCTTTAAAAGTCTTAAATTTGGCTCCCTTAAACCTGCAGATACCCTGTTATGCTAAAGTTCCTGTTCGTCACAGATTTTCTCTCTGTCCGTGTCAGTGCGTGGGCGGTCATGATGGACCGGCGGCAGCAGCACCTCCAGCTTGTCTTGCTCCCTCCTGCACTCTTCATTCCTGCTCATAATGATAAATTCAGAAGGCATGAGAGCCTGAAGGTCCTCGGAGACTCCGTCCATCCCTTCATCATCTACCAAGAGACCAGTGATGTCTGGATCAATGTGAGGTCCAGCATTTGCACCAGGCTGCATAATCAGTTCCAGCATAGTTTCCTGATCTGATCGGTTGATCAAGTCTTTTTATTTGTTTTATGGACGTATAAAATGAGCAGCTGTTGCGTTTTCTGATTTTAATTAACTTTTCTGTTTAATGTGAGCAGAACAGAAAGACAACAAACCAAACAATTGCTTTTCTTTCCAGGTCCATGACATCTTCCATCCTTTTATCCAAACGTCTGATGACGAGTTCACCTTCATCACAGTAAATGAGTCCAAAACAGGCTTCTGCCACTTGTATAAAATCACCTCTGTGTTACAGCAGAAGAGCTTTAACTGGACTGAGGGCTACATACACTCTGAAGGTAACCCCGTCCTGAGAGCACCAGCTTGTGCCAAAGTTGTCACAGTTTTATAGCTAAGAAATTCGTCTTCGTCTTCGTCTTCCTCCGCTTATCCGGGTCCGGGTCGCGGGGGCAGCATCCCAATTAGGGAGCTCCAGGCCGTCCTCTCCCCGGCCTTGTCCACCAGCTCCTCCGGCAGGACCCCAAGGCGTTCCCGGACCAGATTGGAGATGTAACCTCTCCAACGTGTCCTGGGTCGACCCGGGGGCCTTCTGCCGGCAGGACATGCCCGAAACACCTCCCCGGGGAGGCGTCCAGGAGGCATCCTGACCAGATGCCCAAACCACCTCAACTGGCTCCTTTCGATCCGGAGGAGCAGCGGTTCTACTCCGAGTCCCTCCCGAATGTCCGAGCTCCTCACCCTATCTCTAAGGCTGAGCCCGGCCACCCTACGGAGGAAACTCATTTCGGCCGCTTGTATCTGCGATCTCGTTCTTTCGGTCATTACCCAAAGCTCATGACCATAGGTGAGGATTGGGACGTAGATCGACCGGTAAATCGAGAGCTTGGCTTTCTGGCTCAGCTCCCTCTTCCCCACAACAGATCGGCTCAGCGTCCGCATCACTGCAGACGCCGAACCAATCCGCCTTTCGATCTCCCGATCCCTCCTACCCTCACTCGTGAACAAGACCCCGAGATACTTAAACTCCTCCACTTGAGGTAGGACCTCTCCCCCGACCCGGAGGTGGCAAGCCACCCTTTTCCGGTCGAGAACCATGGTCTCAGATTTGGAGGTGCTGATCCTCATCCCAGCCGCTTCACATTCGGCCGCGAACCTACCCAGCAAGAGCTGAAGGTCAGAGCTGGATGAAGCTAGGAGGACCACATCATCCGCAAAAAGCAGAGACGAGATTCTCCTGCCACCAAACTCGACACACTCCACACCACGGCTGCGTCTAGAAATTCTGTCCATAAAAGTGATGAACAGAACCGGTGACAAAGGGCAGCCCTGGCGGAGTCCAACCCTCACTGGGAACAGGTCCGACTTACTACCGGCTATGCGGACCAAACTCACGCTCCTCTGGTAAAGGGACTGAATGGCCCTTAACAGAAAGCCACCCACCCCATACTCCTGGAGCGTCCCCCACAGGGTGCCCCTGGGGACACGGTCATAAGCCTTCTCCTAATCCACAAAGCACATGTGGATTGGTTGGGCAAACTCCCATGCCCCCTCCATCACCCTTGCAAGGGTATAGAGCTGGTCCACAGTTCCACGGCCAGGACGAAAACCACATTGCTCCTCCTCTATCTGAGATTCAACTATCGATCGGACCCTCCTCTCCAGTACCTTGGCGTAGACCTTTCCAGGGAGGCTGAGGAGTGTGATCCCCCTATAGTTGGAACACACCCTCAGGTCACCCTTCTTAAAGATGGGGACCACCACCCCGGTCTGCCATTCCCAAGGAACTGCCCCCGATGACCACGCAATGTTGTAGAGACGTGTCAACCATGACAGCCCTACAACATCCATAGCCTTGAGATACCCAGGACGAACCTCATCCGCCCCCGGGGCTCCGCCGCTGTGTAGTTGTTTGACTACCTCAGCAACTTCTGCCCCCGAGATCGGACAGTCCATCCCCAGGCCTCCCAGCTCTGGTTCCTCCTCGGAATGCGCATTGGTGGGATTGAGGAGCTCCTCAAAGTATTCCTTCCACCGTCCGACTATAGCCTCAGTTGACGTCAGCAGCTCCCCATCCCCACTGTAAACAGTGTGAGCGAGTTGCTGCCTTCCTCTCCTGAGGCGCCGGACAGTTTGCCAGAACCTCTTTGGAGCCGATCGATAGTCTTTCTCCATGGCCTCACCAAACTCCTCCCACGCCCGAGATTTTGCCTCGGCAACTGCCACTGCTGCACCCCGCTTGGCTATCCGGTACCTGTCTGCTGCCTCCGGAGACCCACAGACCAGCCACGCCCTGTAGGCCTCCTTCTTCAGCCTGACGGCTCCCCGAACCTCTGGTGTCCACCAGCGGGTACGGGGGTTGCCACCACGACTGGCACCGGCCACCTTACGACCACAGCTAGCAACAGCCGCCTCAACAATCGCAGAGTGGAACAAGGCCCACTCGGACTCAATGTCCCCCACTGCTCTCGGGACGTGGTCAAAGCTCTGCCGGAGGTGGGAGTTGAAGACCGTCTTGACAGGTTCTTCTGCCAGGCGTTCCCAGCAGACCCTCACTATGCGTTTGGGTCTGCCAGGTCTATGCGGCATGTTCCCTTGCCATCTGATCCAACTCACCACCAGGTGGTGATCAGTTGACAGCTCCGCCCCTCTCTTCACTCGGGTGTCCAAAACATACGGCCGCAGGTCAGATGATACGACTACAAAATCTATCATCGACCTGTGACCTAGGCTGCCCTGGTACCAAGTGTACCGGTGGGCATCCTTATGTTCGAACATGGTGTTCGTTATGGCCAAACTGCGGCTTGCACAGAAGTCCAATAACAAAACACCGCTCGAGTTCAGATTAGGTGGGCCGTTCCTCCCAATCACACCCCTCCAGGTCAAGCTGTCATTGCCCACGTGAGCATTGAAGTCCCCCAGCAGGACAATGGAGTCCCCTGATGGAGCACTATCTAGCACTCGTCCCAGGGACTCCAAAAAGGGTGGGTACTCTGAACTGATATTTGGCCCATAAGCACAAACAACAGTCAGGACCCGTTCCCCGACCCGAAGGCGCAAGGAAGCTACCCTCTTGTCCCCCGGGGTAAACCCCAACACACAGGCAGAGAGTCTCGGGGCTAACAAAAAGCCAACCCCAGCCCTCCGCCTCTCACCCGGAGCAACTCCAGCAAAGTAGAGTGTCCAACCCCTCTCCAGGTCTCGGGTTCCAGAGCCAATGCAATGTGTCGAGGTGAGTCCGACTATATCTAGCCGGTACCGCTCAACCTCTGCCACAAGCTCCGGCTCCTTCCCCGCCAGCGAGGTGACGTTCCATGTCCCAAAAAGTAGTTTTCTTGTCCGGGGATTGGACCGCCAAGGCTCCCGCCTTGGTCTGCCACCCGATTCGCATTGCACCGGACCCTTCATGTTCCTCCTGCGGGTGGTGGGTCCACAGATGGACGAGCCCATGTATCCGGTTCGGGCTGGGCCCCATGGGCGAAAGCCCGGCCACCAGGCGCTCGCTCACGGGCCCCAACCCCAGGCCTGGCTCCAGGGTGGGACCCCGGTAACCCTCCGGGCCGGGTACTCCGACTCTTCGTTTTAATCGCCATGAAAGATCCTTCGAACCGTTCTTTGTCTCACCCTTCACCTAAGACCAGTTTGTCATGGGAGACCCTACCAGGGCACTAAGTGCCCCAGACAACATAGCTCCTAGGATCATTAGGGCACTCAAACTCCTCCACCACGATAAGGTGACGGTTCAAGGAGGGTAGCTAAGAAATTACAATTAAAACCTAGTTATAATTGTGGAATATTGTGTAAAGATGCTAGGTTTTTGTCAGAAACCGTTATATTTACTGTCTGCAGGCAGGATATGTTTTTGTTTACTTAAAGACCAAGTTTACTGAGAAACCATTTTTTACTTATTTTAAATGTGATTGGTCACTCTGCAGTTTCACATGCTGGCTAAACTTGAAAATAGTCTTCTATCTCATTTCCTGCTCTAGAAAGCAGACGGGGAAACGCTCAGATTAGAAAAGCCTGACAGATCTATGCAACACTGAGGATTAGCATTCATGGACTCGTCCATCTTAGCTCACAATGGGGAAGGCTGTTGATGATTTAGCATCCAGGCGAGAGCAGAGAACGTCTCAGCTAGAAGAAGCTAACTGTTAGCATTAGCAACTCCACCACACAGCAGAACTCCTTCAGGCTTATGTTGTTTGTGGAGTTTAAGCATTGTTATGCAAACTGAGTCAGTGGTAGAGTTGTGTTGCTGTTAGCCAGTCAGACGAGAGATGTCCAAGTATTAGGAAGCAAAGCTCCTAAACCTTTAGTCTGCTGTTACCCTCTGCTCCAGCTTCGTTGCTGATATAGGATCGCCAGATACATTTATAATAGAGACCACTGCAAATGTGTTGAACAAAACAAGTGAGCTTGCTCTTTAATGAGTCATTTAATCTCTGATTATAATAGGTTGCCTTAGACTTCTGTTTCTTTGCCCCTCAGATGATTTTAAGTGTCCGGTTAAAGAGGAGGTGATGGTGACCAGTGGGGAGTGGGAGGTGCTGGCCAATCATGGAGCAAAGGTAAAGCTCCGCCCACATTTCTGTTAATGTTGATAACTTTTATTGTTTATACAAATGACCCCCAAACAGGAACAGATGGAGATGTAGAGTTGGTTTGTCTCATTAAAGGAACTATACCATGCTATCTTAAAGCTTTCATAAAAACGACAGGCCCTTACATGATTAAAATATTACTGTTGGCACTACCGAAATGTCATTTGTTCTGAGATGCAAGTTATTTTCTTGAGACATTCATCAACCTGGAATGAACCCCGCCTCTACCCGTGCGACTTCCACTCATTTCATAAAGTAATTCTCGGCCTTCAGCAAATCATCATGAAGCCACGAAGAAGAAAACCATGCCGATTTGCAAAGTAGATTTTTCATGATATAGTGTCTTTAAAAGCAAAACATTTAACAGAAAATCTACACAGCCTCTCCCAGTTAGAGTAAACAACTAAGACCCTACAGTCTAATTCTGCTGCTCAGACTGTCATAAATATAACTTTTTGACTTTGCTTGGTTTAATTTACAAAGACTACATTTTTGATCACATTCATATTAAAACGTGCGAGGCTGGACTTACTAGTTTTATCCTTTTATTGTTAATCATATTCAGTCTTTTTGACGATTATAAAAATGTTGTTTCTGTGAGTTTTAACTAGAAAAACATGCAGATTAAAGATGTGTATAAAAGTAATCTATTAATGAGAATAATTATTGTAAGAGATGCAAATGAATGCAATGCACTGTTTAATTCTCTGCTGTATTTGTGCAGCGTTCCTGCAGTCCTCAGATTTGGGTGGATGAGGCGGCAAAGCTGGTTTATTTCCAGGGAACCAAGGACTCTCCTCTGGAGCACCACCTTTACGTGGTGAGCTACGAGTCTCCAGGGGAAGTCGTCCGACTCACCAAACCTGGCTTCTCCCACAGCTGCTCCGTCAGCCAGGTATCCCAGCATACACTTGTAATGCAAACAACCTGGATTTATTTGCAATTAAAGTTACTAAAGAAGGTTTGTGTTGTTTTATTCACGTAGCAGAAATCAAATAAATCACCTGTTAGCATCAGTGCATTTCTAAAGCCAATAGAATAATTTATTGGGACATTTGTCTGCATTTGATAATCATCACTAGTTGGTTTAATGCACCTCTGATGGGGCGACGGTGGCACAGGAGTTAAGTGCTCGCCCCATAATCGGAAGGTTGCAGGTTCAAGCCCCGCTCAGTCTGTCGCTGTCGTTGTGTCCTTGGGCAAGACACTTAACCCACGTTGCCTGCTGGTGGTGGTCAGAGGGACCGGTGGCGCCAGTGCTCGGCAGCCTCGCCTCTGTCAGTGCGCCCCAGGACAGCTGTGGCTACATTGTAGCTCATCCCCACCAGTGTGTGAATGTGTGTGTGAATGGGTGAATGACTGGTTGTGTTGTAAAGCGCCTTGGGGGTTTCCAGGACTCTAGAAGGTGCTACATCAAATACAGGCCATTTACCATACAAAGCAATCAGGACATCATGATAGATCCACCGTTCATGTGTTCATTTAAATTCAGTTGTAATAGTGTTCTAACTCCAGTGGAGGACACTGTGTAACACTGACTCATCTTGTGTCTTTCATACAGACCTTTGACATGTTTATCAGCCACTACAGCAGCTTAACAACCTCTCCGTGTGTTCACATCTACAAGCTGATTGGTTCGGATAGCGACCCGTTGCACAAAGAGCCGCAGCTCTGGGCGAGCTTGATGGAGTCTTCTGGTACTGAATTCTGCTCACTTTAAACTTTTAACTCATTCGCTGCCAGCGTTTCTCACCATTTTTACTGTTTTTTTAAGAGTCACAGAACGTTGCGTGCTAGGATGATGTCGATGCCAAAACAACCCAAACAAAGCGGAGACTCACCTCTTGCATCAGGAAGAATCTGCGTGTTTCGAGCGTTATCCGTTCTTTCATAATCCGTTGTTGAATTGTGATCGGCAGAACCTTTTCCGGTTCGCGCCTCACTTTTTTTACAGCAGCGGCCCAAAACGATCTCCTAACACGTGGATTTTCTGCTTCCTGATCACGTGACGTGTAACCTATGTGGATGAAGATCGGCTTTAGAGCTGAGATGTTTGTTCTCACGGTGCTGGGGCTCATTCCGATGCCCACACAGTAAAAACATGCAAATGACGACTTTAGTCGTCAGTGGCAGTGAATGAGTTAACATGAAGTTTAGATGTTTCAGATTCTCAATAAATAAAAAAAAATCCCAAATGTAATCACAGCTTTATTGAAAAATATAAAATGTTTGAACAGTTTTGAAAGTTTTGAAACCGTGAATGTTTAACACTGATATCAGGACATATTGTAGATGTGATTTATTTTATTTATTTATTTTTTTAACTGGTTTTGTTTATTTGTTTCCAGGTCATCATTTTGATCCTTCCACTCCAGAAATCTTTAACTTTACCGGAAAGTCAGGCTTTGAGCTTTATGGCATGTTGTACAAACCAAACCACCTGGTTCCCGGCAGGAAGCATCCCACCGTTGTCTTTGTCTATGGTGGTCCTCAGGTTTGATCTTTAACTTGAAACTTAAATTTACATAATAAAACATCTGAGTCTATGGTGCAGAAAGGCCTTTTTGACGGAAAAATCCAAATAGAATTCTCTTATTAAATAGTCAATCACATCTTTTGGTCTAGCTGAGTATTTTAGGTGTTTTCTGGTCAGTCAGCATCTCTTGAAGGTCACTGTTTATAGTGAACCATGAGATGCTGCTGAGCCAGGAGGATGAAACAGACACCTGGTTTGTTTTCCAGGTGCAGTTAGTGAATAACTCTTACAAAGGCGTGAAGTATCTTCGGCTGAGCACTCTGGCGTCTCTGGGCTACGTGGTGCTGGTCATCGATGGGCGGGGCTCTTGCCAGCGAGGACTTAAGTTTGAAGGGGCTGTGAAGGACAAGATGGTAACTGTGGCAAAACATCCTTCTGATGCTGCTAAATGTAGAAAGACATCTACTAGAACATGTACAGAAATACTTAGATAAGCTAAATGTGTTTTAGCATTTCACTGTTTGAAAATCATGCCTACTGAGTGCACTTTCGCAGATTTTAATGAATGTTTATTTATTTTAATTCAGGGTCAGGTGGAGCTTGAAGACCAGGTGGAGGGTTTGCACTACATAGCTAACAAGTATAAGTTTGTGGACTTGAGTCGCGTCGCCATCCATGGCTGGTCGTACGGAGGCTTCCTCTCCCTCATGGGTCTCGTCCACAGACCCGAAACCTTTAAGGTCCAAACCAGACTTGACTTGTTACAGAGAAGACTTACAGACACTGTTTCCATATTCTGCCATAAATGATTCATGAGTAGAAAGTTTCCATTTGTTTCTGTCTGTTCATTTGATCTTGATTTTCTTTAATCATAGATCTAACATTAGGGATGATTTGAAGTTAACGCACACATGATTGATAATTCCTGAAATTGGTCTGTTTTAGCCGTTTTAAAAGTGATGAATAATTAGTCTTTTTGTTTGTTGGTTAGGTTGCGGTTGCAGGAGCCCCGGTGACCTTGTGGACGGCCTACGACACGGGCTACACGGAACGATATTTAGACACGCCTGACAAAAACCAGAAGGGATACGAAGCCTGTTCCGTCGCTCTGCATGTCGACAGGCTTCCCAATGAGTGAGACCCGTTTCTAAACTTGATTTTATTTTCTTTTATATATATTTAAGTAACTTTTTAAAATGTTTTTATTTTTATTTTTTGCTAGATGGCTCATTAGGAGACCTTTGAGTGAGTTCTAACTGAAACGTTTTACTCTTTTATAAATAAGCACAATAATAATTGACGTTAAAGAAAAATTACAGTTTTTTTCATGTTTTAAGGAAAATCACACAGTTTGTGTTTTATTTTCTTTCGTGTTGCCAAGGCAATAGATTTGTCTTGATTTTCTTTCTCAAAGAGAAAGCCAAGACATGACTCAACATGACCTATAAAACCCTACCCTGAAGACTCAGCATAGCCCAGTTTATTCACTAAAAGCTTACTGGATGAATAGTTTTTATGACTCATTATTTAAAATGTAAATGTGAGTAAGTAAACTAATCAAAATGAAAAACCAATGCATGTCTTTGTGTCCCACAGGCCCAACAGGCTGCTCATCCTACATGGATTTTTAGATGAGAATGTACATTTCTTCCACACTAACTTCCTGGTGTCCCAACTCATCCGAGCAGGAAAACCCTACAGCCTACAGGTACAACAAACACCTGATGTGTGCTGATATTGGTCTGAAAATCTCACAGCGATCCAACACGTCTCTACATCTTTTCGCTCCAGATTTATCCCAACGAACGGCACAGCATCAGGTGTCCGGAGTCCGGGGAGCATTATGAGATTACGCTGCTGCACTTCCTCCAGCAGAACCTCTGATAAGCCTTTCCACACACTAACTTTCCTTTCCTTGCTTCCTACCCTCCTCTCCTGTTTTTACTCATGTTTGTTCAAACCTGCATCACCTGTGACTTAACTTGATTTTTATGATCAGTTGAATGCAAACTACGCCAAACCTCATCACACCTCAAGAGATGATTATGAGTCTTCAAGTTGCTGCAGCATTTTAGCATTAAGATAATATTACTTGATTCAGATGTTAGTAAAGTTAGCATGAATCATCACACAGGCCTTGGAAACAGTCTTACAGTGAATGTGTTTGGCTTGTTTCAGGCCCTGAAACCAACAGAGGGCGCTGTTTACTCAGAGTAAATCTAAAACTCTCGGAGCGTGTAGGGGTGACAGAAATAATTGTTGGTATTTAAAATGCTGTTTGCTGCTCCGCAAACAGGAGATGCCAGTGAAGACGTACGTGGACCTTCCTTAGACTTTTAAAGAGATTTCTCTATTTGTTTTGAAGCTTTATCGATTTTAGCAGCTTTTTTCCCTCTAACTTAAAGCAGCATTCCCCCATTTCATCTGAATTTAACAATTGTAAAACTCTTTAAGAGATAACAAGCAACTCTTTTTACCACTTTTAATTACACTGATAGGTTTTTCTCTGAGTTTTGTCCTTTAAGTGCTGCCACAGATTATTTTATTCACTAACAGAGTCCAACTTCACACTTTTATTGGGTGATATTTTAAAAAGAAATATGAGTGATGGGCACACGTTGTAACTTGTTGCTGATCTTTTCAGTCGTCTGCTTTACCTTGATGTGGAACTTGTCTTTCTTCTGCTGCTGAGAACTTTTGCACAGTAAATATTTGCCTCGGTGCCAAGAAACTGACCTATAAGAAGACATTTCAGTCGACTGTTGGCAGTCTTAGGTGCCTTTCTAGAATTTAGGAGCACCTGCTCTCACAGTAAATATATATTTATCAGGGAATCTAACACAAGACTTTGTAGGGGCCGGTATCCACTGGTCCGGTCAGACTTGGCATCGCGTGATGACATCATCAAGCTGCTGCCGGCTGCAGAGGATCATGGGACATGGAGTCCCTGCTGGCGCTGATATCATTATGCTTTATTGTCTACGCTTCAGGGCGTAGATGGCATAGTCCTTTGGAGAAAATACTGCGTAGTAATTTTCTCATGAGGGCAGGACCCCAACAACTTGCAGCAGTGAGTGAGTCTGATGTCTTGTTACTGTCTGATGAAAACCTGTTAGAGGAGCTATTGTTATACATACACAGTGAAATGTTCTCTAAACCCTTGAAAAAATAAACAGAAGTAAACAATGTATTAAAGTTCTTGTTAGGGTCTTTTATTTATTTACCTTTATCAGCATTGTTGCTGAAAATGATCTTGAAAAGCGTATTTGTAAGATTTCCAGCCCTTATATTTTCTGGGATTTTAACCCGAGTGGGAAAAAAAAAAAAAAAAAAACACCAAAATGGAACATTGATTAATTAGGACATAATGTAATGAACTGCTGTTAATGAAAGTGGAATGTCATCATGAGACGCAAATTGCATAAAAGTCACCGTTTTTCATTAAACTATTTAAAGGGTCATTTTCTGAAAATCAATAAATTCTTAACTGCATTTTCTTTGTATGAATGGATGAAGTTTTAATCTCTAAGTTAAAACAAGCTGCGTTTGTATTAAAATGGATAACCTGAATCTGATTCACAAAAAACAGCAAACGTAATCTCCTCCGACTGATAGGTTAAAATATTAAATCTCAGATTTCTCACAATGTTTAGCAAATTTTTCTATCATGGAAATGAGTCCTTTATGATCTCCAGCTGGTCTAATATGAGCTGCTAAGCTGTTTAACATTTATTCTCTTTATGATTAAGCACACTTCCATAAACAAACTTTTTGTTTTTAAAAAGTTTATTTTCACATATTTCATACAAATATAATTGTTTCAAGCTGTGATGAAATATTTGAAATAGAAAACCCCTGAACATTAATTAAGTACAAAGTAAATTATATCAAATACATAATTAATAAACAAAATCCCTTTCAAAGGAAATAATATCGGTCAATGTGACTGAATGAACTTTAAGGTCCCATATGCAAAGCATAGAAATATCTGATCACCAGTGGAGATCAGTAGTGTGCGTATGACAGCGTCTTTATGTCTTTCAGTAGTTAAATGTCTTTAAAATGTCGTTTTCTCTGGCTTGAGTTGGCTTTTGCTCTTTATTCTTTTTGGTTCAGGTTTAAAGATTTTTTGATGCTGGTGCGATTTTAAGAAGAGTTGTCCTCAGAGAGCTGCTCTGTCCCGCTCTGATCGTCCAAAACATGGACTGCCTTCCGGACTGGTGTTTCCGGAGCTGGCCGGGCCGTCGGGGAAACTTTCCGTTAAGATTAGATTCACCGCAGCTGCTGAACCACCAACCACCTGCAAGTAACGAGAGATTTTCATTCAAACTTCCACCAACGTTTAGGTTCAGATGGTCCGGTTTAGGATCAGGATTTGCCTGTCTGACTGGATCTTGTGTGTACCTGAGAGCATCTGAGCACAGTTGATGTCTGCAGCGAGGTCGTTGTCTCTGTCGGCTGTGGAGAAGGGAAGACCAGAAGCTCCAGCGATCACAATGTCTTCCTGAACTCCAGAGGGAGATTCCTGCTCGAGGTGCAGAGCAAACATCTTCTCCTCGCCATCCAGCTGGAATTTGTAACGAGCTTCTCGCTGCTGCCCCGCCTCATCAGACAGCTCCACCTGCAGGATGTACTGGCCTTGCTTGGAAAGGGAGTGGATGTTGTCCAAACCCAGCCAGAACTCTCCTGATAGATAAAAAAAAATCCTAAGGTTATTTTTCTGGCTCTACACAAATGCTACAACAATTTTTTACCAGAAGCTTCATCTCACCTTTGAGGCTCCCAAATCCGTTCTTGTAGCTCTCCCAAAGTTGGTTAAAGTTCTGGGATCCATCCTGACGTTTCTGAATGATCGTCCATCCACCTTCTGAACAGAGATCAGAAATAGTTGAGTTAATACGGTGTGCAAACGTAATTAGCTTTTCATTAAATAACCAAAGACTTTGACTGGTTTGAGTCTTCGCCTCACCTGGAGTCATTTGACAGAGGACGCTGAAGGGTTGTGAGCCCTCAGGCTGGATTGTGTAGACGCCGCTGGCTTTCTGTCCTCGCATAAACAGATCGTGACAGTCTTGGGCCAAACCTGCAAACAACAGACCAGAAATAAATCAGACTGAGGATACAAGTCAGTGTTTTCACATCCAAATGCTTTAAAAATGTATTTTTGTTCTAATTCACATGGTTAAGTTCTCTGTCATCTATTTTTGTGATCTTTGCTCTGTGTTTGATCAGCTCTGCCAGCGAGTCAAACATCATAACTCAAGGTGCGAAGGTGAATTGCTTGGTTCTTATGTCACTTTATGGTTCACCAGTCCCTTGTACGTGTTTGCACTCACAGCTGACTGATTAAACTGTAGATTTTTATTGCAGATAAGCTTTTAAAACTAATATTTGTATTTGAGTGAAAGTTGAGCTTTAACTGAAATGAGCTGTTACCTGATTCCCTTTGGATGGGCTCTGCTTCGCCTGTCAGTGCCATTTCCTCATCTCTCCGTCGGTGTGATTTCACTCTCTTGTGTGCAATCTGCAGAAAATGGGTCAAAAGATTTTAAAAAATCTAATTTTCTAAACAATGAAACATTTTATTTTTAGGACAGCATGGTGTTGCCAGGATCTCACCTTGGTTTGCAAGGCTTGTAGGTGCAGACTCTGTTTCTCCAGTTTGTCTTGTTGCTGCTGAATTTTCTCCACCAGCTGGTCTATGCGTCTGTTCTGAGAGATCATCAGCCTCTGGAAACGGCAAAAGCAAATGTTTTTAGCTTTGTGGGATTGATCAGTAACAGAATATTAACTACTCTTTAGATCTAAACTGTCATTTCTATAAACTATCGATTCGGAAATCAAATCAAACATGAACCCGTTATTTTCTCTCACCTGGATGAATGAAACAGTCTTGTGCTCGCTGTCGTTGCCATCCTGTATCGGCTCCGTCAGCACCTCCTCTAGTCTGTCCATCCTGGACGTGATGTCCTCTGTCTGCTTTTTCACCTCCCCCACCTTCAGCTTCACCTCCTCAGCTTGCTCTGTCAGCAGTCGGTACCTCTCCTGCTCCCCCTCTCCTCCAGCTCTTTGGGCTCGCAGAGCTTCATCTTGCTCCTGCTGCTTCTTCTCCAGCTCAGCCACTGTGTTGTTGAAGGCCTTCAGTTTGCTGTTCACGTCCCTCATGTGGGCTTTGGTCTTGTCCACATGCTCCTTCAGACCCTGACCAAGCTGCAGAAGGCCGTGGGCCACCACATTCACGTCATCCCATGAGGCGTGCTTGTCTCGGCGTTGTCTCTCTGTAGGGAAGCCGTCTCCTACATGGACCAGAATGGTCAGGAGGAGGATGAGAAGTTGAGGCATCTTCATTTTTGTGTCTTTGGTTTTAAATCAGCACTTCTTCTTGTGTCTCAGTTGTGTGCTGCTGAATGGGACTGTGAGGCTTTTATAGCTTGGTGCTGCAGTAAAGAGCTCCTCTGATTGGCTGCTTACAAGAGAAGGGAGGGGAGACAGAGGCGGGGAAAGCCCTTTATAGTGAAGATATGAGCTATGATGCAATAAAACATCTGAATTACTGGTTAAACGCTCAGTAATGCAGTAGTGATTTTTGTCATAATGCTGTCATTGGGTATGCACCAGAAAAGCAACCAGAAGAGTTGTATTTATGCTCCAGAGGACCTCTCACCCACATCTAACACACATCTAACAGACTTCATGTATCTGTTTCAGCCTGGCATGTATCTGTTTCAGCCTGGCTGACGCTACTACACGCCTTTCTAAAATCTAAATAAATTCCCCAACACGATATACATACCTGATTGACTTGTGAAAAACGCTGATAGCCGTTGATTATTCGTGCTTTTATCTGAGACAGAAGCTGACTGGTGGCTGAATGAGGAATGCAGGAGTCGTCACTGTGAGAAGTAGGGGAAAGTTCAACCCTCTGGCCTTTTTACTCACTCATTCCTCACAACAGACTCCTACAGCTGTGTATGCACGCTCCCAGACACAAGGCACGTGTTGTCCCAACTGGAAAAAAACACAGAACATGCTTTTTGTTTGTTAGCAAGCTATGACTGTTTGGGTCATTTTTCCTTTTCCATTTTTTATAAAGTAAATATTTATTGGAGTTTGGATTTTAAAAAGATAATTTATTAAAAGTTAAACATTCCTGGAAGGGAATGAATGTCCAACATCAGAAACTATTAGACCTAAATTTAGAAAAAAACTATGCTCGATCGCAACCAATATGGTAAGATCTCACATGACCTGTCCATGCTCAGAGCCAAAGTTGGGAGTGACTCTCAGCTATGATCAAATTTAATCCCAGTATCTGGAAAAATCTACTCAGGTATCGAATGGAAGACCCATTTCCGACATTCTGAATTAACCCTAGAACTCCCAAGGCAGTCATTTTGACTGTTTTCCAATTTTGATGTGTAATAACTTTATTTAAATGGATCTCACTGTGTCCTGGCTTCCTGGCTTTTCCTATTTGTTTGTGTCCTTAAAATTTGCGTAAATGTCCATAAATTTTGCATTATAATTTCCATGAAATAATGTATCAAAAATACTTATGGTTATTTTTGTCTTTGTCTCCCACAAGCTGTCAGTCTGACGGCTCTATTGTTTACATAGTAAAATTTTCCTGTGAATGACGTACAGCGTCGCCGTTGCTAAGCAACTGGCGTTCCAGCTCGCGCACGCTCACTCTCTGTACATACTTTGTGTAAAATAGCTAATAAAACGGCTCTTAGAAGAATGTTCTCAGTGAAACAAGCATTAGAAATGATGCTGCTTCAGGCGGAGAGGAGAAATCTGCTGGAAATTGGTCAGTTGGAAGCGGCTGAGGCTCTGATAGCAACGCAAAAGGCTATCTCCAACCCCCTAACCCCTACCTGTGGAAAGTAGCCGTGCCAGTCACCCAGCGAACAATAAACGTATTTTCAAGCTTTGGATTAAAATTATATTTTCTTAACAGCAAGATTAACAAGGTAATTAATAGTGTTAATTAATAGCACACCTGAGCCACTTTGCTCCACAACATTATCGTCGGTATGCATTTCATGGCCAGAAATTCCCGTCAAACTGACTATTAGTGGGATTTATACTGTTGGAATTATGGGAGTTCTAGTGTTAAAAAGTAATAGGTTTTATCTCATAATTATGACTCGGCTATCTCATAATAATGACATATCTTATTATGAGAAAGAAAGATGAAAATAAAAAATATTATTGTTTTAATCAGAGTGGCGGAAATAGGCTTCCATACACATAGTTCTTTCTGTGTTTGCCAGTGTTCGTAATGTGGAGCGGCCATCTTGAATGTTGTTTAGCTTGGGGAAAGCCTATTTCAGTTCAAACTTACAGGGACAAAAACTGCCTTTAAACAAGCTGAAAACCAGTTTTTAATACACACCCCAGTTCTGAGTCAGAGACGTCACAGTTAACCAGAATCAGGCGGGTTGTCTGTTACGGGTTTGTCATGAGTCATTTCTGAATCTGTTTAGATTTGTCTCCATGGGGGGAAAAAACACTTTATGGTCTAAATTTGACCAAGATTGGCTGGAAAAATCCTGCAGCTGCATAATAAAACAGGAATTAATCAGCCGGATGACACGCTTTACGGAAACTGATGACCACATGCTGCCAGAAGATCAGAATGGTTTTGCTTTAAATCCCTTAAAGAAATGTAGTGATGTTTAAGAGCAGAGGCTGACAAATGCAAGGCAGCAATTTACTAAAAAGTAGAGAAGTTTTAGTCAGGGTAGAGATGATTGATTTTCAGAAAACCACAGAAACATACAGCAAAAACGAGAGGAGTTCAGTGAGGGTAAAGTTTGACTCCAGTCACACCAAAACGCAGTGTTATGATGTAAAACTCCTGTCTCTTCTGCTGTTTTCCCAACAGAAACATTGATATGCAATTCAAACTTTCTTATCTGCTAAACTGAGCATGATGACAAAAAATCACAAACTAACAATAATAATTCAGACTAATATGATAAACCACACTCAAAGGCTAGATTATCTAACCCGGCTTTTGTAATAAAGCTTTTCATCTCTTTATATAATTTTTTCTCGATCAGGTTAAATGAGGCTCTGTCCACCCACTGCAGGGCGGAGGAGGGTTTTGTTTCACATTGGGAACATTGCAGCTCCTGCTGGTGTCTCTGTGCACGTATCCTCTGCATGCGCACTGCTGTGCTTCTGCACGTATGTCCTCGAACCTGCTGCCCTCAGCTGCTGTGAGGCAGAGTTTCTGAGTCTGCGCACAGCTTTTACACAGACTCGGGAGACACTATATCACATCCCAGCTGTGTCAGGACACAATGTCCGACAGCGAGATGGAGTTTTGGGTTTAGAGCCTCGGCTCTCTTTCAGTAGCAGCTGTTTCCTGAGAGTGCTGCAGAGCCACCCAGGAGGCTTCATCTGTGAGCCTGATCATCAGAAAATTATAAAACCAAACCAAGGTCTTTGAAATCTGATTATTTACCTTTTTCATTCTGACTGTTAAAACGTTTTTCTTTGAACATCAAGGTCAACATCTGATCTTGTGATTTATTTGTTTTTTCCTTTAATAACTTTTAACTAGTTATTTTTTGTGTTCATATAATCTTTTGTTGTTTATATCATTGTATACCTTCATACCATTGCTTTTCTGCAATGTCTATCATGTCACATGACTTTCACTGGGATTCCCGTCTTTATTATTAAGTGTCCTAACTGTGCTTTAATTTCCATCTTTCAGTTCTTTTTAATACACAGAAAAGGTTTATTTACCTGTAACGTTTTGTTTGCGGCTGCAAACATCATCAGGCTGACGCCGATGGTGGCGTCACTTCCTTCGTTTATCCGCGGAAAGCAGAGGACGTTGTTGCCCTCTGCTGCCCGCTCTTCCCTCTCCGATGATGCAGTCCCATGCGCGATCCAACGAGTAAACTCCATCATCTCTGTTCATGGGCTCACATCCACGTCTCCTTATCTCGATGGCTTCTTTTATCCGTCTTTTGTGTTTCTGTTGTTCGGTGTTTGGATCAAACAGTTCAAACACAGATGAGGTTCTACAGTTACCTCTGATGCTGCCTCATTTACTGAGGAAGAAGAAATCACATTAGGAAGGATCCTAATGATTTTGTTTCTAATAGAATTAAATTTTCTCATGAAAAATCCTAAAGTCGTTGCTTCTGAGGGCTAAGGGAATAGATGGTTCAGAACTATGAATCTGTGTAAGTTTGGCAACTGTACTGAAAAGAAATTTAGGATTATTCTTTTTCTCAATTAGCAATGAAAAATAAGCAGTTCTAGCTTCCATCCATTTTAAAGTTCGTTTTAAAGTTCGTAAATCAGAATTAAACCAAGGAGCCAACTTCCTGTCCCTAATTGCCTTCTTTTTTTAAAGGGGTAACATCATCTAATGCCACATGTAAAGAAGTAACATTATGAACTAAAGTATCAATTTGTGAAGGGCTAGAAATAAAAATATTGCCCTCTGCTACGTTCCTCTGAGATGCAGAGGTCAGTAAAGATGGAACAGTTGATTTAAAAGATGCAACAGCGTTGTCAGATAGAGACCGACTATAGTGAAATTTACTTTCATGTCTCGAGAACTCAGTTATAAAAAACTCAAAGGTTATCAAAAAGTGGTCCGAGAGGACTGGATTATGTGGAAAAATTGTTATTTCCTCACACTCTATGCCATAAGTCAGCACAAGGTCCAATGTATGATGGCAGGAGTGGTTGGAGCTATGTATTCTTTGGGTAAAACCAATTGAGTCTAAGATATTACTAAAGGCTACATTGAAGCTATCATTTTCAATGTCCACATGAATGTTACAATCCCCCACTACAATGACCTTATCAGTATTTAGCACCAAATCGGATTAAAAAATCAGAGATCTGATCCAAAAACTTTGAGTAAGGGCCTGGTGGATGATACAAAACTACAAACAAGTGGTTTTACGGTTTTGCATTCTGGATTAGGAAAACTAAGAATAAGATGTTCAAAAGAACTGTAACTATTAATTGGTAAGGGATTGATGAATAGGTTTGAATGAAAAATGGTTGCTACTCCTCCTCGCCCTGTACTTCGAGCAATATAATAATTTAAATAATTAGAAGAAGTTGACTCGTTTAACCTAACATAGTCCTCTTGTTGCAGCCAGGATTCTGTGTACGTGTGTGTGTCATTCAAACAAACTCCTATTACAGGGTCCCTATGGTACGCAAGTGTATTACAGTCAGTGTGGGACAAAATATAAAAGCTGTACCTCGTAATAACAAGAACAGTTCTTGTTATTACGAGGTACAAATCTTATTTTCATGAGAAATTTACTCGAGATAAAAGTGGCTTTAATGAAAAACGTTCTCAAAATAATGTATTAAATATCCCATAATAATGGTACAACTTTGACTTTTCACAGAATACTTGAATCTCGTC